GCTTCTCCCTCTGACCCTCCTCCCTCTCATGCTCTCTGTCTCTCATTCTCTCTCTCTCAAATAAATAAATAAAATCTTTAAAAAAAAAAAAATGATGACAGGACCTCAGGATAAAACAACTAGGTAGGGACTGTGAAGAACTTATCAAGTAAGATTCTGAAATATGCCAAATTCTAGATGCCAATATGAGAGTGTATGGTTATTTAAGTGAAGCAGACTCTCAAATTATTTATTAAATCAATCCAGCATTCATAGGATTTCTTTGCTCCATGAGCATGAAGGAGAAAAAGAAAGTAGCACTGGCCTATTTTGGAACTAGTAGAGGAATCTTACAAGTATTTATTACCAGTTGAAAGGAAAGACTTCATATGCAACATTGTTATCTTTGTAGCATATAATCAAATAAGCCAGGAGACCAGAATGGCACACGGCTCCGATCCAGGACTAAGATCTGTGCAACAATGTCTAGTATTTGAAAGTCCCAGGAGACTCCTTACAAATCAAGTGACACTCCGGGGTTTTTATTAACTGAAAATAATGGGGTTGCAGCTTTGACCACTGACCCAGAACTCCATATTGGCCAGGCAACATGGTATGCAGACAGGGCCCCACAGAGCAGCCTTGAATTTATATTTTACATGAAGAAATAGAAAAGAGGTTGAAGAGGATTTTCTTTCTTACAAGAGAATTGGCATCCTTTGACGGGGCTTTGTCTTCTACCATCCAGGAGGTTCTTCTTTCGTATGTACTTATTGGCTTATTGTCAGTAAAAAGGGACTTCTTTGCTTTTTCTTTTTCTGTTTAGTATAAAAACATTCCCCATCTTCTTTCACGCAAGCTTTTTTTCTAAAATGGTTTCCTTTAACCTCTCATTTTTCTCTATGAACTTACTCTTCAGTCTGTCTCAGAACATAGAACATGTTGACAAGATAGAAACTGTCATAAAGGTCTGAATAATCCACAGAGCTTGAGACTATGTGTGTAACAGGAACATAATTAAGCATCACGCATTAAGGGAAGAAGAAGAATATGCACATTGTTGCAAATTCCAGTTATAAGTCAGGCAAATCATTGGAGAGCCAGTAACTTTACCTCTGTGTGTACAGAAAATTAATGTATTTAATCATAAAATAGGACCATCTATTATACGGCAGGTGCTAGTCTAGCATTGAGGAGACACAGTGAAAAAAGCCTGTGAAAGTTCCTCTTCTTGTGGCACATCGAGGGGAAGAGGGAGCCAGACAATAGGACATAAATTAATAAAATCTATACTATGTCAGCTCCTTGATGAAGTAGTTTGTATAAAATAAAGCAAGGAAGTGGATAAGGAGCTGGGAGTCACAGCTTGAAGGAAGGTATGCAGACAGGGCCTCACGGGGGATTCACTGGCATGGAGTGCTGAAGGAGTCACCATGGGGGGAAGCTACTCTAGGTGGAAGGAACAAGGGCAAAGTACCCCAGTCAGCTCCCTGCTTAGCATGTTCTGGAAACAGCAAGAGAGGCTGGTGTGGTTGTAGAAAAGGGAGTAATGGGGTGAGAAGTTTTGAGCTTCACATGTCTGCCTCTTTCTCTGAGTCCAACTTAATTCCTGCATTGAGCCTCAAAACTCTGAAAGTTTTTACATAGTTGAAGATAAGCTCTGCAAAATAAGAGAAGATGGCCCCACCTCCGCTAGGATCTAGGTCTAGGAAAGCAAATGACATTCTTGTAAAACTCTCCCTAAAGAGGTGAAGTCTAAGAGGAATCTTGTTCCCAGCCATACATACCCCCAGCACCAAGACAGTCTGCAATGACACGGAGGGACTGATGTCCCAACGGATGGCTTTTTACTGCTTAATAGAATAACAATACGTGGTGCTTAGAGGATGTCTTTGGGGATTTTCTTATCCTTAGTCATCTACTTCATATTTTTAACTCTTCCCATTTCATCCGACTTTTGCAGATCCCAAGGCTAA